TCTTGTAACTTTTTTTTTTTTCATCGAACACCGGCTGTGAATTCCAGTGGAAGGTCAGGTAATCGTCCGCTTGGACTTTTGGCTTTCACCTGGACCTGATTTTTGCGTGTACAACCGTTTTTCATTTCCCTGCCTCATGGGCAGCTGTACGCCGACTTCGAAGGAAGACGTCAGGCCTATTTCTAGGGTGACTGTGGCCATTGTTTTGTGTGGGTCGAGACGTTGCCTGATTTGTGTGGTGTCGACATTGTCTCCTTTGCCGCCGGTATTGCCCACGGAGTTATCACCACTTTGGGTCAGCCACTTTGGTGGAAGCAGTTCGGCCCTCAAGGGGAAGGCAGGGGCAGGACTCCGATACATGGCATTCCCCGCCAATCCAAGGAGGCATCCATGTATGCAGACACTTACCGGCACATGGCGCTCTGGTTCTGGGCTCACCCAAGGAATTCGTCACGTCCTGCACATGCCTGTCTTAACCTCACAACCGTATCAGGCCTCCCCGCTCGACAGGGGTTGCGCCTCTGGAAATCAGCGGGAGCAGCCCGTGGGTTTTGGACTTTTGTGACCACACAGATAGTACATTCTTTTTTCTTTCTTCGCACGTTAGATTTCTTTGACGAGCCGTTAGCCCGACAGAGTTTTACATCCTTCTCCACGGCATATCGTATCAGTTTTGTCCCAACACTCGGCGAGTGGGGTCTTTGGGTGTGGACATTCGTCTTTTTCAGTTAATAATACAAATTTTGAGATCGATTTTTTGATCCGTATGATCTAAGTTTTGTCGGACATTTAGGCTTAGCCATCCGATGGATGGTTTGCTGTTATGGTGTACCGCAGCGCGGTGACGACGACACTGAGGGTTAACCAAGGATGTACATGAATGGCCAGCCTATGGATGGTTTGCTGTTGTGGTGTACCCCAGCGCGGGTGACGACGACACTGAGGGTTAAACGAGGATGTACATGAATGGCCAGCCTATGGATGGTTGCTGTTGTTGGTGTACCCCAGCGCGGTGACGACCGACACTGAGGGTTAACCAGAGATGTGCAGTGACAATGTTCTCTTTACTCCGCGAGTCTTTTAACCAAGAGTTGTAATTTTGGCTGTAACGTTTGGCAGACCTACTCATGTTCTAATGAGTTTATAATAACATTTTTCACCCAAGCGTTATGGGGGCGGGCTGACTGATAGCCACAAGGGACACATCTAACCTCTGTGGGCCGCCAAACTCCGAGATCCCACTAGACAGCTCTAGTTAATGCTCATTTGAGACATTATCCGTGGCGCACGACGAGGACGTGCTGCCGGGGTCTTGCGTGAGGTTCCGTTACAAACCAGGATATTAAAGGACTGGCGGCCCGAGCTGACGTAACGGAGTATCTCCTTATACACATCATGTTGGACGTAACTTCCCCTCACGCGCCTGTGACATAAATCACCGCGCTGACTAACGCTTCTTGTAACTGATCTTCTTCTTCTTCTTTGTGTTCTGCTTCTTATTCTTCCTTTTCTTCTTCTCTTCTTTTTCTTCTTCCTTCTGTCTTCTTCTTCTTCTTCTTCTTCTTCTAACTCTTCTTTCTTCTACTTCTGGCTTTTCTTCTTCTTTCTTCTTCCTAATTTCTTCTTCTTCTTCTTCTCTTCTTCTTCTTCTTTTTCTTCTTCTTCCTTCTTTCTAGCTCTTCTTCTTCTGTCTTCTTCTTCTTCTTCTTCTTCTTCTTCTTCAGGCTTATTCTACTTCTTCTTCTCTTCTTCTTTCTTAATCTCTTCTTCTCTTCTCTACTTCTTCTTCTTCTGTCTTCTTCTTCTTCTTCTTCTTCTTCTTCGCTTTCTTCTTCTTCTTCTCTTCTTCTTTCTTCTTCTTCTTCTTCTTCTTCTTCTTCTCTCTCTTCTTTCTTCACTTTCCTCCAGTGTGATACACTGAGGAGAGGATCCGAGCAGTTATGGACTGAATGGTTCGATGTGGCAATGAGAATAATCTGTCGACTAAATGACTAAACAACTAACTAACTAACGTCTAACTAACTAACCAACTAACTAACTAACTAACTAAACTAACTAAACTAACTAACTATAACTAACTGTCTAACTAACTAACTGTCTAACTAACTGTCTAACTAACTAACTAACTAACTAACTAACTAACTAACTAACTAACTAACTAACTAACTGTCTAACTAACTAACTGTCTAAGTAGCTGTCTAACTAACTAACTGTCTAACTAACTGTCTAACTAACTAACTAACTAAACTAACTAACTAACTCTAACTAACTGTCTAAGTAACTAACTCTAACTAACTAACTGTCTAACTAACTAACTAACTTTAACTAACTAACTACTAACTAACTGTCTAACTAACTAACTAACTAACTAACTAACTAACTAACTAACTAACTGTCTAACTAACTACTAACTAACTAACTAAACTAACTAACTAACTAACTAACTAACTAACTAACTGTCTAACTAACTAACTAACTGTATCGCGAACTGTCTTAACTAACTAACTAACTAGCTAACTAACTAACTAACTAACTAACTGTCTAACTACTAACTAACTGTCTAACTAACTAACTAACTAACTAACTAACTGTCTAACTAACTAACTGTCTAACTAACTAACTAACTAACTGTCTAACTAACTACCTAACTAACTAACTGTCTAACTGTCTAAATAATTAACTGTCTAGCTAAGTAACTAACTAACTGTTAAACTAACTGGTTAACTAACTAACTGTCTAACTGTCTAACTAACTAACTAACTGTCTAACTAACTAACTGTCTAACTAACTAAGTAACTAACTAACTAACTAACTAACTAACTGTCTAACTAGCTGTCTAAACTAACTGTCTAACTAACTGTCTAACTAACTGTCTAACTAACTGTCTAACTAACTAACTGTCTAACTAACTAACTGTCTAACTAACTAACTAACTAACTAACTAACTAACTGTCTAACTAACTAACTGTCTAACTAACTAACTGTCTAACTAACTGTCTAACTAACTGTCTAACTAACTAATTGTCTAACTAACTTTCTAACCAACTAACTGTCTAACTAACTAACTGTCTAACTAACTGTCTTTCTAACTGTCTAACTAACTAATTGTCTAACTAACTTTCTAACCAACTAACTTTCTAACTAACTAACTGTCTAACTGTCTAACTAACCAACTAACTAATTGTCTAACTAACTGTGTAACTAATTAACTGTCTAACTAACTAACTAACTAACTGACTAACTATCTAACTAACTAACTAACTAACTAACTAACTAACTAACTAACTAACTGTCTAACTAACTAACCAACTGTCTAACTGTCTAACTAACGAACTAACTGTCCAACTAACTGTCTAACTAATTGTCTAACTAACTGTGTAACTAATTAACTGTCTAACTAACTAACTAACTAACTAACTAACTAACTAACTAACTAACTAACTAACTAACTAACTAACTAACTAACTAACTAACTAACTAACTAACTAACTAGCTAACTAACTAACTAACCAACTAACTAACTAACTGTCTAACTAACCAGCCAACTAGCTATCTAACTAACCTCCTCCGGTCTTTTCATTGATGTGTGGGAATGGGAAAAAGGGAGGGGGGGGGGGGTAGGTGAGGCTCTTCTGTGCGCTATTTCCAATGCGTTGTTTAATTTGGTGATCATCTTCTAAATGATTTTGTTGATGTCATCTTCTGCGTGGCTCCTTCCTCTTGCTTTGTGTCCATTATAGTTCTTCAGTTAGATGGACAAAGTACAAGACATGTCCGTCTTGTATGATCTTTACTCTTCTGGTTGTGCTGACCAGTAATTGGCCCCAACTCTGGCGATGTCTGGTTTGTACGTGTGTCTGGAAAGGTCATCACTAGATACCCTTCGGGATGTTGGCGGACCCTTATTGATTACTGATTCTCTTGACTTTGTTGTGTTTTCTTACAATTCTCTCTCTCTCTCTCTCTCTCTCTCTCTCTCTCTCTCTCTCTCTCTCTCTCTCTCTCTCTCTCTCTCTCTCTCTCTCTCTCTCTCTCTCTCTCTCTCTCTCTCTGTGTGTGTATGTGTGTCTAGCTGCTTCTCTTTTATTTTCTGTCAGTCTCCCTACCCACATACCTGTCCCTCCGTCTAAATTTCTAAGGAATTGATCAAACTAGTTCTTCTTCTTTTACTATTACTACTACTACTGCTGCTTCTGCTGCTGCTGCTGCTACTACTGCTGCTACTGCTGCTTCTGGTGCTACTACTACTACTACAACTACAACTACTACTTCTGCAGCTAATACTAATACTACTAAGACAACCACCACCACTACTACTACTACTTCTACTACTACTACTACTACTACTACTACTACTACTACTACTACTACTACTACTACTACTACTACTACTACTACTACTACTACTACTACTACTACTACTACTACTACTACTACTACTACTACTACTACTATTGTTATCATTTCTGATTTTTTTTCACTTCCTCTTCTTCATCCTCCTCCTCCTTCTTTTCTTTTTATTCTTCCTCTTCATCTTCTTTGTGATGAGAAGTTATAGTAAAGATTACAACAAAATTGATAACAGCCATGAAACAACGAAAAAAAGCAAAAAAAGCTACCTACTGAGACAGGGCCTAGGTTAGATTCCCATAATTGGCTGGATTTTTTTTTTTTTTTAGCTGGGTAGAAAAATGTAAAAAAAAGGGGGAGTGTGTGTGGGGGGGGGGGGGGGGGGAGGGAGAACCAGATTAATTAAAACGGGTATCAGACAATTTCTTGACTGTTCAGGAAATTGTCTGGAAAGGACCAACTAACATGCCGTGGTCTACCTAGTATGTGTGAAGTTTAAACCCAGATGGCTGTCTCAGCTGTTGAACGATGTTTATAACTTTGTGTGTTCTTGTAATGTGCTGATGGAAGCTGTCTCGCTGCAACGTTTGTTTGTCGTTTGGGAAAGTGGTAATGTGAGTTTGTCTAGTTCTAATTTCCATATTCAACAG